AAGTAAATGACTGCATGTAAGTAAGTAGTCTCAAATACCTAATCATTCGGATAAATTCCCAGCTTGCATTCAGAAGTGAGAACTGGTACAGTTTAGTTTGATTCTGTCCCACTTCAGAGTGGGCAGAGCTATCGGTAGTCTATTCAGTACAGGCAAAATTTTCTTACTGAAATAATAAAACAAGTAATAAGTAATAATAAAGTAAATAATTAAGTAATGATTATTCTCTTGTTTTTAAAAAAGTGTGTGTATATATATATAAATTTGTTGCCACCTTCACAGTTCTTCATTATCTGTAGACAGAAGATTCATCCAGGATATTTCAGGATTAAAAAATTCTAGTATTTCGAAGGGTTCATGAAAACAGCATTGCCCAAGTATGGATTGATAACTTAAAACTGGGAGTGTTATTCCCACCTATTTAGCGTTAGAGAGTCTTGTCTTTAAAAACCTTCTCATTTTTCAGGAGTGCATAGCTAGTAGCATTGTGTTTAGATGTAGGTCTATGTGTACCCATAAAATCTTTTTTTTTCAGTTTTACATATGACTGTCACTGTCCTGACAACAGTAAAATTGCTCTCAGAAGAATACTTTCTAGCTTTTGATTCCAGTAGTGACTAAGAGTGAGGTTTTAGAAAGGCTTAAGCTAAGCTGAGTCCATCCTTTCACTGAAAGTGAGGTCCTACCCTCCCTTTATCCCAGCTTTCTTTTATGCTTATCTTCTGCGAACTTCTATATCTGAAAACTCTTACTTTGTAATTATTACTGTTGTTATTTCTATAGTGGTTTTTTTCAGTTGCATCAGCTGTCTGATCTGATTGACTAGCAGGGATGCAGAAATATGTGGACAAAGGTGAAGGAGAGGATGGGCTAACTTGTTCAGCAGTAGCAGACTTAGACCAGCTAAAACTGAAGGCAAAACTACATTCTTAGACATGGACTTAAGTGTCATAAGCATTGAATTAAAACTAAGGGGCAGACCTGCAGAAAAGCTTGAACGTGAGATCCACAGACATGCCTGAATGCTTCTGTGGATTCAAATGTGAGTAGTCAGTTTCTTCGTGATGTGCAGTGCTGGCATTAAGGCTTTAATTTCACAGCCCTGTAAGATCCTTAATTTTGCCTTTTAATCTTCCTTCTTCCATACAAACTTCTTTCTTCATGTTGGCTTATGTCAGAAAGGCTCCATTTGATTCCTCCCACACACCACAAACTGCAGCCTTCAACGAATACCTGGTTTCTACTGCTGCTCGCAATAGGCTATTTTGCTAGTAAACATTACATAGTACATAAAACACTTCAAAGCAGTATCAGCATTTCTTTTTAATCACAGTGATGCTTTGTTTTCCTTTAAACCCTGGTGCTTAATGCTGAATTTGATTGCAGTTTAAGAAGGTGCGTTTATGTGCATCTACTGATACAATAATCAATCCAACATCGTCTTTATTCTTCATTTTCACCTTACTGTAGTATTTTATTTTTCCAAGTAAATTAAGCATCGAGTATAATGAATGCTCTATTGGGTTTGCATGGCAAGGTTTTGGTAGCGGGGGGGGGTTGCAAGGGTGGCTTCTGTGAGAGGCTGCCAGAAGCTTCCCCTCTGTCCGATACAGATGGCCTTGGCCATCAGCGACGGTGATAGCACCTCTGAGATAACAGAGTTAAGAAGGGGAAAAAAACCGGCACACAGCATTTGCAGCTGGAGAGAGGAGTGAGAATATGTGAAAACAACCCTGCAGGCACCAAGGTCAGTGCAGAAGGAGGGAGGAGCTGCTCCAGGTGCTGGAGCAGAGATTCACTGACAGCCCGTGGGGAAGCCCATGGCAAGGCCAGCTGTGTCCCTGCAGCCATGGAGCTCCATAGGGGAGCAGCTCTCCACCTGCACGCAGGGAGGGCCCCACGCCGGAGCAGGGGGATGTCTGAAGGAGGCCGTGACCCTGTGGGCAGCCCATGCTGGGGCCGGCTCCTGGCAGGGCCTGTGGCCCCGTGGGGAGAGAGAGGAGCCCCGGCTGGAGCAGGTTTCCTGGCAGGACTTGTGACCCCGCGGGGCCCAGGCTGGAGCAGCCTGTTCCTGAAGGACGGCACCCGTGGGGGGACCCAGGCCGGAGCAGCTCGTGAAGAATTACAGCCCATGGGAAGGACACACGGAGAAGTCTGTGGAGGACTGTCTCCTGTGGGAAGGACCCCAGGCTGGGGCCGGGCCGGAGCAGCAGAGACAGTGTGTGATGAACTGACCACAACCCCCATTCCCTGCCCCCCTGTGCTGCCACTTGGGGAGGAGGGAGAGAAATCAGAAGTGAATTTGAGCCCGAGAGGAAGATGTTTTAAGATTTAGTTTTTATTTCTTATTCCCCTACTCTGATTTGGTTGATAATAAATTCAACAAATGTCCCGAAGTCAAGTCTGTTTTGCCCATGATGGTAATTGCTGACTGATCTCCCCGTCCTTATCTCCACCCACAAGCTTCTCCTTAAATTTTCTCTCCCCTGTCCAGCTGAGGAGGGGAGTGATAGAGCAGCTTTGGTGGGCACCTGGCCTCCAGCCAAGGTCAACCCACCATAACAGTCAACTGCTGGTTATTCTGTAGCAATACTGTCACAAAATCGTTTTTTAAATTTGAAAAGCATCAGAGAAACTTATTTGAGAGTGTCTGAACCTCTGAATGAATAGGTTGATGATCTGAATGTCTGTTGTTTTCTTCCTTCAAGAAATCTTAGATTGGCCTCTGGTTGACTGTGCTGTAGTCTTGAAAGGGACGGATTGGAGCAGTTCACTGGCCTCATTTTACTCTTCCACCCATTTCCTCTCTTCAAGCAGAGGCACTGCTCCAACTCCCTTCTGACATCACACCAGTAGGAACTTACTCTGTTTCTGGAGGATGTTTTTCTCCCAGTTGGGGTCCTTTCAACATAGAATCACAGAGTGGTTTGGAAGGGACCTTTCAAGGCCGTCTGGTCCAACTCCCCTGCCATGAGCAGGGACATCTTCAACTGGATCAGGGTGCTCAGAGCCCCGTCCAGCCTGACCTGGGATGTTTCCAGGGATGGGGTATCCACCACCTCTCTGGGCAACCTGGGCCAGGGTTTCACCACCCTCAGTGTGAAAAACTTCTTCCTTAGATCTAGTCAAAATGTGCCCTCTTTTAGTTTAAAACCATTACCCCTTGTCCTATCACTACAGGCCCTGCTAAAAAGTCTGTTCCCGTCTTTCTTATAGTCCCCTTTAAGCCCTGGGAGCTGCCATAAGGTCTCCCCGGAGCCTTCTCTGCTCCAGGCTGAGCCCCCCCAGCTCTCCCAGCAGAGCTTGTTCCAGCCTTCTGAGCCTTTTCATGGACATGCTGGTTTATTCCATAAAAGAAAGGTTGTATCTGAATGTATTATCTGTGAGTACTGTGGAAACCCCGCTTAACATATTTAAGGTTGCTGTAGCATACAAGGTTCCCTTCTTCACATCTTTTGGAATCCTTTAACATTTAGAGCTCCCAACACATACAGTATTCTTCTGGTATTGGGAACGATCTAGCAGACTGTCTTCTCATACTGGTGTCATAGAGCTTTCCTCCACATCACCCCTTACTGGTAGCCACTGTCCCCCTGCTGAAAGAAGTTAGAAAGTACAGGTTTGGAAGGTAGAAATCTGCAGCACAGCAGTGGTGATAAGCAGCTGGAGTTAGGGTGAAAGCGGTGACCTCTGTTAGTGGCACTGTTGTATCTGAAAGGTGTCTGATATGCTGCTGCATGGTCTCTGGAATATCTCTACTTCCTTCTCCTTCTGAAAAGAGGAAGCGAGTTTGGGCACGGCAGATCTGAGGCCAGACTTGTCTATGATGGTTGGTTCTGGTATGGTGGGCAATTCTTCCCCTAAGTACAGATAAACTCTAATGGAAAATAGCTCTAGTGGTAGTTTTACTTACTACTCCGTAGAGCTCAAGGTAGTGGTTATAATACCCTATAGCTGCAGATGTAATGTTCACACTCCTCTTTGATTGTGGAAATTGGATTTGAATGGAGGCTGAAGCATTTGTGCCAACCTTTATGATAGTGTTTGATCTTCAGTGACCTGGTAATGAGCACGGCCTGAAAAGCTGCAGCAGGGTCAGTGTGCTATTCAGTATGGACGGGTGGGCGGAAGGCGGGAGCATCTGCTTCATTAAGATTATTCAAGATGCAGGTGAGGGCCTCAGTGCCAGTGGCTGGAGTGGAGCCGCTGGTCACAGTCTGGGGGAGCAAAGTGAGTGTCGCTATCTCCCCCAGACCTGGTGTGCGTGGGAGAGGACACACGGCATTCACTAGCATACCTCAAGCTGGACTAGCCAGTGAGTAGGAGGCTCTGGGTGTGGGCAGGTGTACCAGATGGGGACAGGGTGCATGACAGTATTCCTGGGATACCCACAAGTTTAGGTTTCCTGTGAGGTGAGTGCACGAGTGTGTGTTTGCACTGAGCACTGCAGTGGACGAGCTGGTGAGGGGGAGACCCATGGTGTGGGTGGGGGAGCTCAGGATCTGGAGAGGGGTGTCAGATGTAGAGAAGGGCCATGCTAGTATGACTGCTGGTGTGACTGCTGATACCATACAGCTTGGTTTTATGGTTCAGTAGAATTGGAACCACTTCTTCAAGATAATTCCTGTTCCCTTTTGCATCAACCTCAAGTGGTTAGTTGCGGTGAGTCTGTTCTAAAAACAACGGCTCAAATATTTTCTTGAGTCTTGTTTTAAATGGTCTGCCATGTGCATGCTCGTGAGCAGAAGCTCTATGAAAGCAAGTGGTTCTTGTCCATACCAATGGGACAAAGCGGCAAGTTAAATTATCTTTAATGCTATGATCAGTATTTAATTGAGTGTATTCACGTATTTTAAATGTTTCAGTAGCTTATTACAGTTACTAGGCTTTACTGAAAACACTTTCACAAGAAGTGTTTAGAGCTGCTATTGTTATCCAATTAAATGACAAATTTATACTGAAATTGTATTTGGCTGTAAAATTATATTCCCAGTAAATATGACATCTTCTTTTGCAGTGACCCATATGTGAAACTTTCCTTGTATGTAGCAGATGAGAACAGAGAACTTGCTCTTGTGCAGACAAAAACTATTAAAAAGGTATGTATATACTCTTTTTATTCCATTGTTTTGGAAATATTCAGAATACAATAGGAAAACAAGTGCATGCATCTTCAGTGTGCATGATCTGTTGACAGAAAAACAAAAGAGAAAAAATCCTAATATGTTGCATATTATTCTCTAAACCTCGGCTTATCAAATCTCATTGCATCATTCACTGTTTCTTTTATCAAACTCATATTTTAATGAAATATGAAACTGAAATAAAGACCTAAGAAACTCTGCTTTATCATTTCTCTGACTTTTAGCAGAAATGATCATTCTTTAATGCTCTCTTTCAAAATTTCCATTTTCAAAATATTTTCTTAATATGGGAATTTAAAATAGCCAAATGACGGAATTTGGCTGTAAGAAAAGCTTGGAAATGCACTGAAAATGTTTTTGGTTTTGTTTTAATTAGAACCAAAATTTAATTTTCATTGGTTTCTTAATTTCATTCCACATAACCAAAAATTCCACCAGGGGATATTTGTCATTACCAGGGCCCTAAGATTTTTTTTTTTAACTATTATTTTTTTCTTAAATTTACTGGTAGTGATGGCAGACAGGCAAAAGTCATAACTTGCATGACAAGTAAGAGAAAAATAATGAGTAGTCATTTTTATGAAGATATTTACAATCAAGAATGATTCAATTGAAATCATTATTGCAAAACAGAACAGTGAGGAAAGTTTTGTTATTGAAAACACAAAAGAGAATGATGTTGTTCTAAAATCAGAACATTAGGTGTCATAAGGAGACTGTTACGAAATCCTGGAAGCATGGAGGATTCAAGCAGAGGTTTTCACAGGATGCAGGGCATGTTTGATGTTGGAAAGGAAAATTATTTTAAAAGATCTCCTGATTAACCATTGGTACTTGTTTCATAATAGCATTTTTATGTTCATTGACTGCTTTTAAATGTTCTTTATAGCCCATCTAGCTTAGTTTTATGTGAAGTTTTTAGACACTAAAATTTATGAGAAAAATGTTAGCTTTTCCCAAAAAATGTTAACTACTCCCAAAAGGAGTACCTATTTTGTTGCTATAGTAACAACACAGACTGTGGCATTTTTTGTTTCCTTAAATAGGTTCAAGATTTATCACCAATTCCATACAAGTATGTGGGAGGTGTTCTTACGATACACATATCTTGGTTTTGTGGAGAGTATGCTTGTTGTCATGCCATTTCCTGGGATGTAGTTGCATGGAATCAAGTCCTGTTCCTGGAATCATAGGAATGGAAAATGCTTAAGCTTGATAGGTCATTTTCAGGCTATTATAAAATACCTGGCTATTATAATTCTGGTATAAGCTTAACTAACGTGTTCTTGCTGAAGTGCGAGATTGATTTTGTCTTGCTACGGAATGGCAATATTAATGAGAAACTATTAAATCAGGACACCTGCATCTGTGTACTGATAAATCTTTCTTATGTTGTAAAGGGTAGATGAAAAGAATAAAATGAGTGTAGGTGAAGGTTTCATTTTCTTACTTAAAAAATAATTTAGACCACTGTAGTAATTTTGGATCAATAGCAATATGGGCTCAGGCTTTACCAGCTGCTAAATGGGCAATTCATTTCATCTGGAGAGAATTCAGTGAAGTTGGAGACATTTGAGCAGTTGCACCCTACAAACAGCCTTCGCTTTCATGGGCTTGTTTGAAAAATGTATGCTTCGGGATTCCTGAAAAATAACAGTGTACTGAAAAATAACTGTCTAGACAAGTCCGGTTCTTGTAGTGCTTGTTTATTGTCTTAAAAGAGTATGGTAGCTTCTGTTAACTGGCAAACGCCTGAGGATGGGAGGGAGATTTCCACCTCTCACTTCAGTGAAGTGGAAGCATTTCAGTGTGAGGCAGTATGAGTGTAGATGTTGGAAGGGACCTCTGGAGATCCTCAGCTGTAACTTTGTGACTAAAACTCAGGGCAGTTATGATAGCAGAGAGGAAATGGAGCGGGGTCATGAAGGAGCAAGGATCCTTTGGCTTTCGAGAGAGATGCTTTGTAGCAAGTCCATGAAATGGAGGGAGAGGAGATAGGAAGTGTGGGATGGATATAGGACTTTATTTTTTCCACTTGCTTCTTAGGAAATAATGGTGATCACATGCAGAGTTTTATTAATTTCTGGTTTCTTTTTAATTAATTTAATTTTTTAAATTTTCATTAGAATAACATTGTCCTTATTTGAAAGGATGTTGCTGGTATAAAAGCATGTTTACTATAAGATACGGCATGTTTGGCTCCTACACATTTGAAATGTATTGGCTATAGTTCAAAAAGTTAGGAGAGATGGAAATGAGAGCATGAGATTGGAAACAAGTTTGTAACAGTACTGCTGATCTGAAGCAATACTTAGCAGCTTTGGATCCCTGTGAAAGGAGAATAAGAAAGTTTCAGAGAAGACCACCATAAATAAATAAATAAAAGACGTGAAAGTACTGCATTGATTGTATGAAGGAAGAGATAAAGTCATGCATTTGTTTGCACAACAACCCAGCTGTAGACAGAGGACTGAGGATGAGGTGATGGTGATGATGTATTCCTGGGATTGTATCTGCCTTTTTTCACTGTTTCTTGTAACTGTCACTTAAAGCCTGGACTTTTTCAGTCATTTCCATAATAGTGATATTAACTCATCTATTGGAAAGTTGTAGTTAGTGATTTCTGTTTTGAATTGTTAAATTTAACCTCAAGACTTCTGCCCTGAAAGCAGTATTCTTCCTATGCAATTTGCAATCTCTATTTATTTCACAAATAGCAAACATCATTAGTATATCTTAATTTTGAGTTGAAGTCATTAGTGAAAAATATTGAGCAAAATCAGTCCCAGGAGTCAGGCTGAAAGATGCTGCCAGTTACCTCTTTCAGCTCTGTAACTTTTCTTTTAATATGAAAAGTTTAGTGAAGCACCTAACGCTTCACTAGTTTCTTATTTTTCTACTTATTTTTGTCTTCCTCAGTTTAATGGGTAATTTTCTGTGTGGCATTATCTTGCAGGACTGCCTTCAAGAAGGCAGAAGGGACCACAAATTCCCCTTTTTATTCTCAATGTGCAGTTGTTTGTACAGGTACAGATCCACTGTACAGCTAGCCCTAACCTTATGAAGTACTTAGTTATAGCTGAAGGAATTAAATGCCCATTGTTTCCTTACTCTGAAAAAATAATATCAGAGAAATTTCAGTTTCATCTGGCATGATCTAGCTACGTTGAATTTTTTTTTTTTTTTACAGTTACCTCCGTCCGCACATTTAGTTATTCCAACTGTAAAATTTGATTAATGCCTTGTGTTTCCTTTTGGAGCTGTGTTTTGAGTGGCCTGCTAGAAATGCTCTCTTCTTCTTTTTGCAGTAGAAAAAGCTGTATTTGCTGTTTGCCATCTTATGATCTTGTAAGATGCTTAGTATGGTTTTTTAAACTCCTGCTACTAGGCTCGTGATTTCATGTGTCAGTTCTGTCAGAAGAGTGGATGAAGATTACTTAGTTTCCTCAGTTTGACTGCACTGAGCTCTGAAGACTTCACTTTTACATCAGTTGTGACAACTTCTATCTTTGTACTGATCCCTCTTAGTTAGTCTGCCTTTCCCATATGTAATGTTAAACATAATTTCCAGTATCTAAATATGCTTAGTCTCCCCATTGAGCTTCATAAGTAGCATCATTTCTTTCCGTGTTCTCATTTTATTTATGTGGTTGAAAAACCTTCTTTGTGTTTATTCTAATATCCTGTGGAAGATCTAAGTCAGCTTGACTCTTGGCAGTTCTTTGTACCATACGTGCCCTTTTTAGGATGTAGCTCGTTTTGCCGATGAGTCTTTTTGTTGTTGTTTCCCTGATAATATCCTTTATGAAGTTATTTATGCATTTGTTTCTGGAGCCTTTCTTTACAATTGTTTTCTTCCTTTGCTAGGGTTCTAGTGTTTGTACTTTCTGACTTGACCTCCTAATTGTTTGACTTGTAAAGGTGGAAGAAAGTTCTGCCAGTTACTAGGGTATTTACCAAAAATTGTGCTGTCTAATACCTCAGATATTTCCTGAGATTTGTATTTGTGGTTAAGCAGCATTCAAAATTAATGCATTATTGATGGACAGTAGTGCCCTCAAATTTAGTGCAAGACCATGCTTCATTTGTTAAATTACATGGAACCTCTCTTGCCAATAAGAGCTGCATTTGATGAATGCAAGTATTTAAAAAGTAACTTTTTTTTCTTATTACTTTTTTTTTTTTAACTGAATACATTTGTTCTCCTTAAGGCTGAACGTTTCTCTTTGCCCCCAACCCCTATCCCTACACTTCACCTACACTCATTTTATTCTTTTCACCTACCCTGTACAACGGTCTTTTCTTTCATGAAATATTTTCCTGCTCTGTCATAAGACTGTTTAGGATAAACAAGTAAAACTTTTCTGAGTACAGCTGTTAACCACCTGCATAACTGTTCGTATAAGTTTAGAGTTTGATTTTTTTTTATACTAATATTTCCTTTTGTCCTCCATTTTCCCCCTAAATTTTCTAGAAGAAGGTTTTCAAATTTCAGTGTTTGATTTCATTGATAATTAGTTACATATATGTTGGGTTGAGATTCAGCCCCAATTTAAAGGGGAAAGGAGGATGTACAGTTCTCCGCATGATGTGATCATATGAGTGCATGCTGAGCAACAATATGGCAGCTGTATTTCCATTTTGTAAAGAAATGCAGTGTAGTGAGCCACTGGACATGATAAATATATTGTGTGTGTATATCTCTCTCTCTCTCTCTCTATCAAGGAGTTTAAGGTAACAGCCAAGATTATTCTTCTCTGCTATAACAAAATTTTGGTGGGTGTAGAGCCAATTTATACTGTCAGCTCTTCTGGTAAATCTCTGCTATGTGAGCGAATGAGGGAATGATTTGGCATGAAAACAAAACCACTGGGCATATCATAGTTGTTCTTAAACTTATCCCAATTTAAATCGCCCAAATTATTAATGTTAATGTAGTTCTAATATCTTTTTCATTAATTTATTATTTCATGCTTCAGCTCGCTTCAAACTGCACTCTATATGCATATTTTATTCAGATTATTAGAACAAAATTAAAATCCTCCATAGGTTGGGGAGAGATTAGGAAGAGTATCGTACCTATTCAAAGGAAATAACCTTTGGTTTTGTTCTTTTTGTTCTTTTTCTGTTTAATTTACAGTACAAATCTGCCCTTGCTTTTGTAGCCCTAAAGTTGATCTTGTGTTTAAAAATTATGTTGTTGTTTGGTTTTTTTTCTTCTTTTATCTGGGTTTAAATGATTGTTAAGAATGAAACATCTTCAGATTTGATTTTTATAGGTTCTCAGTGATTTGCCTTTTACTCATAGAACCCTATTTATACTTAACATCTATTTTAGGACCATCTGACTCAAATGTCCTCCCATGTTTGGTTTACTCAGTAAAGAATTTTCTAAATAATTTTATGGCAATACTTCTTTCATTTTTTTAATGACATGCTTTTTAACCTTTTTTTTCCTAGAAAATTGTCACTTGCATGCACATTTTGATGATTGAAAAATGGCAAACCCAAAGAAATTCTAGTATGTAAATATGTTTATTTTTTTACAGACACTGAATCCAAAATGGAATGAAGAATTTTATTTTAGAGTAAGTTCCCCTTTAATTACAATCATTATTATAACATGTAAAATTAATCACATGGCATTTTAGAAGGTTGAGAAGAAGCTTATTTTTTATTTGTTGTTTATATGTTTACATTTAAAAAATGCTTGTCCTCATGTAATTGCTTTTCTGTTTCTGTAGCGATGGAATGACCAGCAGAAATTGGCATAAGGTTAATCTAGAAAAGGACTGTTTCACAATTTGAGATTTTATCTAGAGTAAGTTTTGAGTTAATTCATGTGACAAATAAAAAATTCCTTTTACTGAAGATGTATTTTAGCAGAGCATGTTTGCTGTGATTTTAAAATGTTAATGCTGTGGCAAATAATTGTAGTTCTTTCCAAGAGGTGTATGAAATTTGAGTGATCATGGCAAAAGATAATGAAATAGAAATGTAGACAAGGAAGGTAGAAAAAATAATTTCTTCTGGCCCTTATGTTACTTGCCAAAAAGGTCAAAATATGCCTTTTTTTTTTTTTTGGTAGTTAGTATTAATCTTTCTAGATGTTGCTTAAAATGAAAACCAAGTTATAGATAAAACTGAGTGATTATTTTAATCAGAAAAAAAATTAAATTTTTGAAAGTGGTAAAGGAGGGGTTAAAATAGCAATTATCAAAATTAAATTACCAAAATATAAATGAGAAGGGCGATAACAACTTCGTTATTTAGTTCCTGAAAATATTTTTTTTCCAAAGAAGAATGGCTTAATTTTAGTGCAACTGTAGCTTTCACAAAAGAAGGTTAGGTAGACTTTCAGCAGTTTTTAATCTTAAACAGCTGCTTGAGAAAAGATGTCATTTTAGATTGGTAAAAATGGGTGTCCTATTGAACACTGTTTATGGAGTCCTAGCAATTGTCTGTCTTGCTAACAGGATCTTTTAGATAGGTAGTTCCCACCAATATAGTTGTTAATACAGAGGTTTCTGAGATCTAAGTGGAATTTTAATTTTAAAGATGTACCAAATAGCTTTCCTAGGTTTTGCAACTGGATAATACATATCTAAAATAATCTTTATCTAATGAAATATTTTTATTTTTATAATGTACTCAGAGGGGAAAATATGGACTTACACTTTTTTAAGTTATGCAGAGTCCATAGGAACTGTCTTGACACTAAATTATGTCTGGGCCTAAGGTTTTCTATTTTCATCACAGTGACTTTCGAGGTTTGCACACATCTCGTTATAGAGGTGGCTATACCATGGGATAACTTAAGCTACCTGCCTGTAAAAGTGCAGAGGAATTTTGATACTGTAATTTCGCTAGAAAATCATTATGCTAGTAAGAGAGCATTTAATGGTGAAGTGTTAAATGCCTTTGCCTTCAGCACAGAGTTGTAACAGAATTGTACAGATTACCATCATGACCATTACACAGGAAAGGGAAGTGAAAGAAAGTTTTAGGCTGTTTTTCTATCTGAAAACATTTCAAGCTCTCCCAAATTTGATCCCAGCTGCATATGTGATTCAGAAATGGATGACCTCACCTCCATAATCCCATCTTTATGAATACTGGTCTCATAAACATTCTGAGTTGTAAGACAGACTGTAAGGAACAAATTCATGTGTTTTAAACTGAAATGTATTTACTCAGGATTAAGCGATCTTGTTGTACATATCTGTGCTTACAATTTTAACAGATGTTATTTGAGGCAGCCTTTTTAATAATTTTCTCTCAGGAAAAGAGAATACACAAAACTGCCACTATGTGTTGCTTAAACGACAGATATAGTTCATAGAAGCTCTGTTAAAACATCTTGAAAATCCTAAACAATAATGTGAATAAATAAAGTAATGCATACCTCTTTTTTGTGTGTCATGATTCTCTGATTTTCCCAAAACTGGGAAATCCATCGCCACCCCCCTAGAATTATCAGTCCATTGTGGAATGTTATTTCTAAATTTTCTTAATGAAACAAGTTGGACATAGTAACCTGGCTTACAAAATTTTCTGAAAAAAATACATTATGTGGATCAAATACTACAGAACTTTTTTCTTGTTTAATAGTGGCTGTTTTGTCTTCCTGCCAGAGTTGTTCTTTTGTTTGTTTGTTTTTTCCTTTTAAATGTTGGCAGTCTTTCTGCTTAAATTTACTTCAATGTAAATAATTTTCTGGAGGTATATTTGCTGTTTTCAAGTGTTGGAGAGACTTCTGTTGTGCTTTCCACAGGCATGTGTGATAAATGGGCTAGAAATGGTGAGCGATGGACAGTTCAAAATACAGATTGTGAAATTCTGAAAGAAATACAGTAATCCTCTTTCTCCCTACAGTTTAGTTGAACTTTGCAGCTGTAGAACAAAAAAAATCTGTGAGCCAGATAATCTGTCCAGCCTGGGACTTCTTTCCAAAACACAGTGCTTGTCACTTTGGCCGGGCTACCTTTCCGGAGGCCAAGCTAGCTTTGCTGGTGTATTCGAGGCAGCTGAAGCCCCCGTTAGCAGTGCTGGCTGCAGCACATACTGGGGGTGACGAGAAAGAAGCAGCTGCGGTTTGCCCGGGGATGTCCTCTCCAGATTGCTCTTGGCCGTATGGCTGCATGCAGCTCGGCACTGTGCAGCACCCATGCCTTTCCTCTTCGGAGCTTTCTGTAGGAAGAGAAATGCAGTAACTGCGTTGCATTGAGCACAGTAAATGAGAGCTTTTAATGTTAACTGCTAGGCTATTTCTAGTTGCAGTAGGGTTTAGAAACAAATTGTTTTACTGCTCCACTTTAAGTAAAACCAAAGATTTACATAAAACCTGTTAGTCTTGTTCTGTTTGCCTTGGTTTAATCGCCATGTGAACTAGTACCTATGTATTGTTATAATGAAGCTAATGAACCTAAAGTGACATTATTTACTTTTTCTCATAGGTAAACCCAACCAATCATCGTCTCCTGTTTGAAGTGTTTGATGAAAACAGATTGGTGAGTGCTTTTCTTGATCATGTTTTCCTAATCACAAGGCTCCATATAACACAGCTGATGAAGATATAGCATATCTTAAAGGTTTGGTTTTGTCTGTTTAAGTGTGCATAAAAATCATCTGGTTTTGGGACTAACAGTCAGACCATTAAACACAAAAGTAGTACCCTGCTGGGTCAGACCAAAATGGTCCTCTTTAACTCAGTATTCTAACAGTTAAAACCTCATTGTATTCTTCCTTAGGCTTCTCCAGTGCAAACTGAGAGAGTCCCAACCCTTTTAGTCACTTCTAAAGCAGCTGCATCATCCCCTGCTCATTGTAGTGCCTCTTTCCTGTACTTTTTAATACTCCTGGAGCCTTTTTTGGGATGTTGTTACCAGAGCTGCACCTTGTACTCAAGATGTGGGCATATTAATGTTTAAGGTAACGGCAGAATAATGGTCTCTGTTATGTTTTCACTTCTATGCCTCATAATGCCCAGAATATTGTTAGTGGTTTTAGTCTTCAACTTAATTTGTCTGATGCAGTGGGTCTCCTAGAGAAGAAGTCCTCCAGCATCTTACTGCTGCTTTTTTTTTTTGAACTGATTAAGTAGATAAGGTTTTCAGAGACACATGTGGAATAAGTGACACTGTCATTCTGAACATATTAGGTTAAATATGCCAGTGCAATGGCATACTGGGTGAATGACTTGTTTGGTTTTTTGTCTTTTGAAAATTGTAATGCCATCTCTTTGTTTATGAGGTCAGGTATTAACGTTTTCTTGGTTGGGTGCAGTACAATCTCTACTAAATTTGTTTGCTTTGTGAAGATTAGAATCAGTATTGTGAAGATCCTTTTATTCAAAAAAAACACCCAGTATGGAAACATCTGTCTTCAAAAAATGTATTATTTTCTTTTGTCTTCCTATTAAATATAGAGCAAAGAAAAACATACAAGCTGTAATCTTCTGGGGGAAAAGAGGACTTATAACCAAATGATTGTATCTTCCCTTAGGAGGAAGTAAATTGGTAAATCTGTGACTGTGTATTTAGAGCGGGCTGACTGTGAGCATATTTATTGACATATAATGATCATAATGACCACTTGCAGTATTAGAACTGTTCAATACCTTTTGAACTTAAAGGAGATGATCTGGCAGTTCTTCCCAGCTTTAAGGTCCTCTTCCATTGCCCGCTAATGCAAAAAACACTGAAGCAGAAATCCTGTAACCATCACTGCGAGACAGTGTATATAAGCCTGGGTTCAGGACTGTGCTGACATTATTGCGTGACTTGCATGTGTCTTGGGGACGGTTGGAACACGTTTATGTTGGCGTGGAGGACAAAGCAGCGCTCATGGAAGAGGCTTCGGTCTGGCCTGCAGAGAGCAGTGGCATAAGAATCATAGAATATTTGAGTGGGAAGGGACCTTTCAAGGCCATCTAGTCCAACCCCCTACAGTGAGCAGGGACATCTTCAAGTAGAGCAGGTTGCTCAGAGCGCCGTCCAACCTGACCTGGAACGTTTCCAGGGATGGGGCATCGACCACCTTTCTGGGCAACCTGGGCCAGGGTTTCACCACCCTCAGTGTGAAAAACTTCTTCCTTAGATCTCGTCGAAATGTGCCCTCTTCATTTAAAACCGTTCGTTACCCCTTGTCCTGTCGCAGCAAGCCCTGCCAAAAAATCTGTCCTCATCTTTCCTATAGGTCCTCTTTAAGTACTGGAAGGCTGCAACACGGGGATGTCCAAGTGTGGCAGTAATGGGGTGGCGGTTCAGGAAAAAAATGTCTATGTGCAGTGACAGCTGAGAAGTGATAGTTTTGGCATATTCATTTCAGATATATTTCTTTAAGGTTTACAAGTTTCTGTATGCAGTAGTGGCCTTATACTGGCAGTTTCGGTATTTCTGTATTGTTGAATGGTTTTCTGCTCTTCCTGTGATCCGGCTTCTGTAGACAGTCTGCCCTTGGGCTCGTAACCTCCTTGCAGAGGCAGCAACCTGTCGTTTAGGAGCCCTTGCTTTCCTTTCAGAAGGTATTCTGAGCTATTGACAAAGCAAGTACATCGGGGTTCTTAGAGTAGCAGATTTCCACAAGGTTCTGTTTACAGAACGAGGAGACACTGAACTGATTATTTTGGCTTTACTCTGAAATACTTATTGTCAATACTTGCATGGTTTTTATCACAAGAACTTTTGTTTCTTCTTCATGTTCCCAAATTATCAAAGCACTTTCTGACTTTGCAGTCCTTTCCTTTCTATCTCCCAATCAAAATAGAGAATATGTGATGCAAGCTTCATCTTCGTGCCAAGAGAGACAGTGTCCTTGGATAACACGCTTTATCCAAAAAATAGTGTAAAATAATAGTCAGCACGTGTGCTTCCACAAGGCAATCTACAGTATTGTTGCTGTGTAGAAGCTAGTCATGTTTTTCTTCTTGTTGGCTCGTAGTCCACTTAAAACAATAGGGGACTGTGTTGTCTGTTGGCAGTTTTTGTTTTGTTTGGTATTGTTTTGTGATGTTTGGTATTGTTTTAAGCTTCCATTTCTGTCATGATTGGTCATTTTCTGTCTTTGGAAAACAAGCTGCTTGCAAACAGAGAATTAAATGTCTAGATAGAGTATTGACCCTCCATCTACAAATTTTCAGAGCTGTTCACAGAACTTAACGCTTTCAAGTTCTCCTAGGGAACAAATGTCCATGTATTTAAATGAAGCTACACTTCTTGCTAAACAGAGTTTCTTTGCTAGTATGTATTAACAAGTACTGTTGTGAGCACAGCAAACGTGAGTATCCTCAGACCACTGAGTTTCTGTGTTACAATAGAGCTGATTTAGGGTGTTTGTTTCATGTTCTGGTATATCCTCTCTGTCTGTTCTTCTGCTGAGGTTTTTTGGCTCTCAGAAAGCGTAACTGTATTCTGTGCTGGCAATCACACTCGTGGTAATATTGCTAACTTTCTCACTGGAGGCCAGCCAGCAATGGGCAGAGTTTCTGCACGGTGTTTAAGACAAATTGGTACAAAACTACGTGCAACACCCGTCTCTTGGTTTTCACTCGTCTTTACTGCCTGGTAAAACTGAAAAGAAACTTTGTCGCCTGCCATCTTGCAGATTTCAGCTGTTTTTATCGTGTGAGAAATCTTTGTCATATGTACGATTGCTTTGTTCGTTGTAATTTTTAATTATGAAAAGGGACTGTATGGGGTAGTGTAGGTTATATTGCGTTCGTAGGGACAACGTAGAAGTTGTGGCTTTTTAAAGGCAAGAAGTTTATTGCTTCATCATGTCATGAGCACAGCTAAAATTGAAAGCATAACCGTGCTATATTTATTCGTGTTCTGTCATAATACCCTAATGCCATAACACAGACCAAAATGTTAATCTTGAAATAATTTTTCTCATTTGCATGTGGAGTTGACTTAAACTTTTAACACTAAATTGAAGTGGTTTTGTTGCAGTTAAATTTTTGTGTGTGTGCTTTATACAAATGTGCCTTGTGAATATGATGTGGTTTAGATTTATAGCAGTGCCGAGTGTGTTCGCTGCCTTAGTCAGCTGCGAGAGCTCTCCTGCTGGGGCCGTGCCTCTCTGATGGAAAAGGAGCAGCTGTGAAGGTGCTGTTTCAGGCTCTTGCTGGCATTAAAAAAAAAAAAAAAAAAAAAAAAGAAGAAGAAAAAACAAAACCCCCACCAGCTTACATTGGAGAGGGCGAGCCAGGCCACGTGACTCCCACCATCCTACCCTATGTCACAGTGTGTAGGAGCGCTGATTGCTCTTACCCAATCATGCCTGGAATGCTGCTTGCCACTTGGGCTATTTCTGCTATCTGTCGCTATCAGGGCTGCAGTGCTAACAGTTTGGCAGATGGGACACTTTTTCGTGGAGTTTATGTCTTTGGTTTTTAACTTCTGGCAGTGCCTGAATTGTTGCTGTTCTCCCTCTCCTTTTCTTCTCTCTGTAAAACCATGGCCCATCGGCTGCGGTTTCATTTTGGCTCTGGGCGAAGCAACACAGCCCCTGAATCAGAGATCCTCGACCGGGAGAGAGAAGATGACTTTTTCATGGCATTTCACACATTGCCAAGAAGAAACAGTCCTCATGCCTTCTCCCGACACGGAGCAGAGTATGGTGGTGGCAGCGATTTGCAAGAAGTGGGCTCCTTAAAAAGGAGTACATCCATGTTTATTCCCCAGCTGCTGAACAGTATTGATGTGCGTCCAACGAGAAGCTCGTCAATGCAGATCTCCCTTCAGCGCAAAGCTGCGAACGGCTGCGCGGATGAGTGTGCAACCCTGGAACCTCCTGAGGAGACGCTTCCTTGTAAATTCTCAGACTTTAGGGAGCATTATGCATCCCCTGTTAAGAACCATTCTTCTGCTCCAAGCAGTCCAGAGGTGACTCCTGAAAATTCTCCACCCAGACTGACAGAAGAGTTAGGGCAACAGATTAATGGAACTATTTGCTGTAATCGTAGAATATTTTGTACTATTCCTTCTAAGAACCAGAGTGAGGATGCTTCATCAACTACCCAAGAAGATGAGGCAAATGAAGCAGCTTCAGATATAAACATAAGTGGTGTGAGGATTCAGCATCGGGCTTCAAGTGCAGACGTGCCTCAGGTTACTCTACTACCCTTTGGTACTGAGACTCAAAATAATGTTCCCACCCCTGAACCCCGGCGTTGGTCTTTGCAACATGTGCCAGATATGTCATCAAATTCAGGGAAAAAGTTCTTTGTTCTCCAGTTACAGCAACCGCAGACAAGTGGTACTGGTGCCGGAGGCGAATATAACTTTGGTTTTACTGGAACAAAAGGGGACAGATTGGTCAGGTATCCTCGGATACGTCTAGAAAGGAGTACTTCCTACTCTGTCCAGCCACCAACGGAAGAAACTAGCCCCAAGGATGATGTATTGAATTCAGAACTGCATGGAAATGGCAGGAACGGCACAGAAATATCTAGAAGCAATTCAGTAGAGCGGATTCCTCAAGGGCAGGGATGCTTGTTTAAAATCAG